TGTTTTTAATTTAGGTTGTTTATTTTTCATTTCAATGAACATCTACAGAGATTTTGGGATTCCATTCATTCATTGTTGCACCCTTCTCCCTGCACAAACCCCTCCCCCCTCCCCCCATTTGCTCCTCTCCTTGAAAAGCAAAAGAAAAACTCCCTCATAATAGATGGTTTTTAAGTGCCTTTCTAATGCATCTAAATATTATTCCACTATAAAGTGTGATTTTAAAGTTATATTTTTAGAAGCCCATCTTGCACATTAGCAAATTCAGTCACATTTCTACCAAAGTCAGTAAGCTAGAGAAAGATGCCCCAACATTGTGCTGGGCCCCAAAGAGATAGCTCCACTGTACCAGGGTTCCCTTTTACCTGGAAATGAAATATGCCAGCATACCCTGGGCCGAAGCTTTGATCCTGGGGAATGACACGAGCTAGTGCCTTTTCATTAAGTGTAAGGGAGGCGATGGCAGCCAATAGCCAGCAGTCTCCTGCAAAATGGAAACCACAGGTCACTGCTTCAGATTTACAAGAAGGGGGGACGTGTATGACAGAATGAGACATAGGAGTTCAGATGTGGCCACAGCTTCTCTGCATTAACAAAACCCCCCAAACTTAACAGAGTTGGGGCAGAAGACGGAGGGACCAAAACTTAAAAACAAAAACAAGGCACAGATTACTGGTATATTAGAGATTGGTGGAACCTCTGAGACAGTAGCCCTAAGTAGACCTTTGTATCTAGAATAAATCTCATCCCGTGGCTTAACATTCAGTCAAACAATCGGCAGACCTAGGAGGTGACCAGGAAGCTCTGGTGGCCTACTGGACAACCCAAAGGAAGACAGTTTGGATCCACCAGCTGCCCCTGCAGGAGAAAGACAGACAATCTCCTCCTGTGTGATTTATAGCCTCCAAAAACCTACAGAAGGATCAGTCATGAGCCAGGTGAATCTGATGACAATGAGAGAGACATAAGCTTACCATGAATAACAGGAAAGCAATCACTCCTTAGACTAATCACATAAGGTCAAAAGAACAGCATTTCCCCCATATAAAACTCAGAAGGTGGGAAAGGGTGGGATAGGAGGATTAATAGAAATGAGAATTACAGGGAGAAAGTGGAAAAGTACAATTAGATTGTGAGTATTGAAAGTAATGCTATACAACAGTATGTATATAAATGGTTGAATGATAAGTCAAGCTGCTTTCTAAGTGTTCCCTCAAATCACAATGGAACAAAACTGACAGAATGTGAAAATATACCTCCATCCTCCACTCTGCCTCCCTTTATGGTCTCCTCCCGCTTTGTAACGTCTTAGCGATGTTGTCAGTTTGATTCCTTGAGTTTCCAACATAGAGCTCTCTTATGCTTTCAAATTCAAACTCAAATTCATTGCTCATAGATGGCCTTCCAATGGATTTCCAAAGGCTGTGCATTACATAGGAGAGTGCCCATCTTTCCCCAGAGAACTGCTGTGAATTCAAACCACCTCTGTCTTAGCAGCACAGCCCCCGTGGACTGTGCCACTGAAATTCTCCCCACTTCTCTTTGTAAATGTTTTTGCTGTGGGAATATGTGTAAATGTATGTTTGAAAGTGTTCTTCCATCTAACAGAATCTCTCAGCCCTTGTGTTCCGGGTGTGTTTCCTTTTAAAGAATAATATCAATGCCATTAAAACCCAAGGCCCATCTCATACAGTCTAGCTTCTTCCAAGTTCACATTTCTGGGCAGAACTATTGATCACATATGATGTGCTCTCTGGATGCTGGGCAGTGGAAAGTGGCCCTTTCTGGCTGTTGTGCGAGAGAGACCCGCTTTCACAAAGAAGGCAACTGCTGGATTACTTTCTTTCTGCTTCCCCAGGGAGTCATAGTGATAGGGAGAGGGTAGCCATCCTTGAGCTACTGGGCCTATTGTTGTTATTGTTAGGTGCATTGAATTGAAAGTGACACAAAGCTGACTCTGCAGGGGTTTTCAGAAGCTGTAAATAATGTGGGAGGAGATTGCCCATCCTCCTCTCTTGGGGTAACTGGTGGATTCAAACCACATGCCTTTGGATTGCCAGTGCAACTCCTTGCCCACTAGATCAGCAGAGCTCCCTAACAGTGCGTAGAGATCTTTGTGAAAACTTGTGCACCTTCTCTGGGAACTCTACCCTCAACCTATGTAAATACCCTGTGATTGTCTTATATTGTTGATACCTTCAGCTTGCTTGATTCCATAGTCAACACTCTTTGCATCAAAATTCAGGAAATAAAAAGATGGATTACATTGAGAAAGCCTGCAGTCAGGACCTCTCTAGAGTACTGAAGAGCAAAGATTTCAGTCTGGCAACTAAAGTGTGCCTGATCTAGGCCATAATCTTGGCAATTACTTGCTATGCATCTGAAAGCTGGACAATAACTAAGGAAGATAGAAGGATCTATGCCTTTGAGCTGTGGTGCTGGAGAAGAGTGTTGAACATATCATGGACTGTCAGGAGAACAAACAGGTTTGTTCAGGAGAAGGTGAAAACAAATTGCTCCCTGGAGGCAAGGACTTTGAAGCTTTGTCTTCCATACTTGGAGATTTTACTTTTCAAAGAGAAGAGCAAACTGAGGGGGAGGGGTGGGCAGGGAGAAAAATGCAACAATAAATGAATGGAAATCCAAAATCTCTGTAAATGTTCATTAAAATTAATAAAATACATTTTTTTAAAAAAGAAAACATTTTTGTTCAAACAGTAACAGTGAAAAAGCTTTTAATTGTTAAATTAAGTCAATGGTTATGAGAAAAGAAACATTTAGAGTTTGACAAAGTCTTTTAAATGTATTGTATCAACAAAGTGGTTAATGAATTGATTAGGAAAAAATAAAAAAGTGGCTGTCTTTGGTACTTTGGCCTCCTGGTAGATTCTTCCTCTAGTGAAAGCAAGAACATAGACTGCTTTATCTGGTAATAACAGCAGGGCACCTCTGACCTTGGCACAATCACAGTTTGCTTTCTAATGTGTCATCTGTCCTTTGATGCCTCTGGTATAGCTTCTTGAAGACTGCAGAAGATTGGCATAGGCTGAAGGTGTCCATAACCTTACCTCAGTCCTTTCATCTGTAAAATCAGGTAAGTGGTTGGAAGGTCTGTGGGGTGCTGAGACACATGCAGACAGGTAACCTAATGAATGTATAGACATGTAGGTTGTAGTCATTTATAAGATTTCTGGCACAATGCGGCTGGGCTCGTTGTTCTTGTAAATGCCTCGACTGTGAGCTCTGGGCCACATACATATTCCTGACAGAAGGATGTGATTGCAGGGCTTTGGAGTCACAGGCATTTATTCTGAGAGAGCAGGCCACTGGACTTGGAAGGAGGAGAGAAGGAACAAGAGGGTGAGAACAGTGGGTATCCTCCCAACTCTGTGCCCTTTGTCATTTTGGGACCTGCTGCTGTTACTGCTGACCCATGCTGGAGAGGCCAGTCCTGGTGAATGCCAGTAGGATGTGTCCAGCAAACGTACTCTCCTCTTACACATTCACCCACTTACCAAGTTCTCCTTGGCAGATATCAGTCCTGGTGGCTCCTCCAAGAATAAATTCTGGGTTTTTCACTATTTCCTGTCAAAAAAGGAGACATTTATTAAAGTGAGATCTGCCAGGCAATGAGCCATTAACACGAGAAAGACTCAGGACTTTTTACTTTAAGACTCAGGACCTTTTACTTTCTTTTGGGAAAAGGGCCTTTATTTGTTTTGGAAAGGCTGCCATGACATGATGTCTCATACAGACCTCCTGTAATGTGGACTCAACCTCCTTGGCAGTACCTCAGTGCCATCCTCTGTCCAAATAAATCCTCACCACATCTACCTGCAGAGGGAGCATGGGACATGGGATCTGCATCCTCACTCAAGCTCTTGGTGAGGAATCAGAGGCTGAGTATTTGAATCCTGAATCTACCTCTTTTGAGAGTTTCATCTCCCTGATTTTCAAGTTCCTTGTCTTACAATAGAGTTAGAAACACACACACACACACACACACACACACACACACACACACACACACACCAGATCTGAGTAAAAGACAAATCCTCACTCCTTGTCCATACAACTTGATTCTTATAAAACATGCCCTTAGATACAATTAGGATATACATAATAAAGAATTATATACCCTAACCAAATTGGATTTTTTCCAGTTTTATAAGACTGACTCAACTTTGGAAAAGCAATTAATAGAACTTACATAATAGGCTAAAGAAGGATAATAAAATTATTTCAATAGATATAGGGAAAGCACTAGACAAAACGCAATACCCTTTTATAGTAAAAACTCATAATAGAGGGGAACTTCCTCACCTTGTCAGAGAATATCTACAACATCCTACAGCTAACTTTATGTTGATAAACTAGATGCTTCTCCTTATGATCTGAACCAAGACAAAAATGCCTCTTGTGGCACACCAATTAAACTTTGTACTTCAAGTCCTAGCTAACACAGAAAACAGGGGAATGGTATGTATGCAAGGCACAGCAACTGAGAAGGAAGAAATAGACATTATTTTCTTCACAGGTGGCATGGTTGTCTATTTAGAAAATCTCAGAGAATTGACAAAAATAAATTCCGGGAACTAGTAAGCTAGGTAGCAGGATACAAGTTAAATGTACAAAAGTTGATTGTTTCCCCTTATACCAGCTATTAACAGTGTGGAGAGACTCCTGCTCCCCAACTTCCCACATTCTCCAGTATTTGCTTCTCAACTTTATCTGAAGCTGTCACATCTCCCAAATCCTGTCTGCTGCTTTTCTTTTTTTAGGAGAAATTTATTCATTCTCAAAGGAATGAGAGTTACTCATCAGGTACAGAAAGGCAAGGTCTTTGTCCTAGTGATTTATACCTACTTGTCTGATGTTTGTGTACTGGAGTGCATCCTGTATGCTAATTAGGAAGAATTCCCTATACGTGGAGCTGGGGAGTTACTCTATGCTGGGACACATCACAGTACGTGCTGGACAGAGGAGGCTCTCACGTGTTCTAAGAGTGTGTGTAATGGTTAAGCTCATGCCACACATACGCCTTGTTTGCTGCAATAGTCTTTGTCACCAGTACATTTGGGTTGATTGTATCTGTGCATGGATGGCCTGCATGCATGGGTGGCACCCAGTTAAGCATCTGTTCAAGTGAAGCTGGAGCGGCAGGGGATTACCTGAAACAACAGCCCTGCGGTTCATTGCAGGGCCTCAGTAAACATGACACAAACTCAGTCTGTGACTAGGGATACTGAAACTGGAAGAAAGGCAGGCCCCTGGCACCACAGAGTTATTTTCATGGCGTGTGAAAGGTTTTTCCTGACATGTTTGCTTTTAGGGCCTAGTCTGTTTACTTGATCAGTCATAGGGCTCTTAGCTAAAGACACAGGCTTTTCCCTACCAACTAATTGGTTAAAAAAGGGGAAACCACCCAGTAAAAAAAAAAAAAAAGAGAGGAGAGCCACATTCATATGGTAGAAAAATGCTCACCTGCTAATTATAGGATTGGAGGTTTTAATCCAATGAGATACCATACAGAGTTATCTCAGTGGAAAGAACCTGGTGTCTGCTTCCAGAAACTCAGCAAGGGAAAACCCTGCAGAGCACAGCTCTGCTCTGACCTGCACGGGCCACCATGAGTCTCCATCAACTCCATGACAGCTGAGTTCTTTCTTTCTGATTTTTTTTAAATTATTTTCATTATTATTTTAATGGAAGTTTACAGAAAAGTTAGACTTTCATTCACTCATTGTTGCTCATCACTTCCCCCTCTACAGTTCACTTAAAAAAAATTAATGTATTTATAGAGACTTTGAATTGCCATTCATTCATTGTTGCACATTTTCCTCCCTGCCTACACTCCCCCAGTTGAATTTTCACTTTGAAAAGAAAAAAACCAAACCAAATCTTTCATTATTATACAATACCCCCCACCCTCCAGTCCACTTCTCCATGTAGTTCTCATTCTGTACTCTTGTCCTGAAAATACCTAATCATATATTCCTTTCAAATAGTTCTCTCCCTCATCTGTTTCAATGCAGTGTACATTATTTATCCCCTTTTCCCTTAGTTTCCCCCAATGCTCATGTCAGTCCTGTTTTATAACAGTGGCATTATGCAGTATTTGCCTTTTTTTGACTGAGATATTTCACTCAGCATAATGTCCTCCAGGGTCACCCATTTTGAATAATATTGCATGAGTTCCTTGTTTTTCAATGCAGTGTAGTATTCC